TCCTGAAAAATACTTTTTCTAACATAACAACATTGCAACCTAATGTTTGCGTAAGGAGGAACTGTGAGGAACTTAATGTGCTGCGTTTGCAAGTGTTGCATAACATCTATCCATCAGGCTGGATTGGAGAGATCAGTTTTGATTTGCTGTAAATCTTGCTAAGCAGAGTGAAAACACTCAGTGTCAAGCGCATTATATGTAAATGCTGAATGTGCACATAGGATTGTATACTTTATAAAGTGCCTACATATTGAGTCTTACCACATCGTATACCACGATGATCCCATGTATGCTGTGATTTGCAAATTCCAAACTTCCAACTTGGTTTATGCAATGACATTAGCATTTCTAACCTATTCCTTCTCTAACTGCGAAGGAGAAGATTAGACCTAAAACAAAAATCCAATTTTAAAATGATACTTGGGCCAAATGTCGGCTGCAAATAGGAATAAAAGAGTCAGACATCAAAGGAAGGAAAAACGCTGTATATGTTAAAGTAAAATAAGATCTTTCATGTTTAATACAATTTTAAGGTTAAGTTCATATAATTCAAAACGTATATATCTTTATGTATTTTAGAATTTGATTCTATACTCAGTTTTGAACAAAGAGAGATCTAATGGTTTAACTGTCTTTCTTATTTTATTGGATGCTGTTGATAACAACAGTATGTGGTGATGGAATGATTTTATCCATGTACTTTCTATCCTCTAGGCACCAACTAGATTTGTATTCCTTTTTTAGGAATAAAGAATAACATTTAAACGGAGTAATACATTGTTAATCTTTCTTAAAGCTGTTTAAAATACCAGCTTTGGTTTGGCCATAAGACTTGTTCAGAGATCTGCCTCCTAAAAGGATGCTGCTCTTCCATCTCATTATACACAGCGGTAAACACTCTGGATTTTTCCATTTAATCCATCTGCTGATGCTCTGAAATGAAAGATGGCAGGTTAATATTTTTACCTGATTGGTAACCATGGTTGCTCTGGACATATAAACTACCTTTTTATTTCCATGCAACGTCTAACTTTGGATATCAGAAACATTTAACATTGCCATGATGAATTTTCCGTTTTTCTCCTGAAATGCTTTCAAGACATGCACACCTTTCAGCAATTTGTTGTGGTGTATCAAAAGCAATTTCTCAAGTTGAATTTGTAAATCAAGTTTTAAATGAGTTGAAACAAGTCTCATAATTAGAAAAATTGTATAATTGAAATCTGCATTTTTTTAAATGTAATAAAATACAAATAAACCAATTCATTTTCTGCACAGTTTCCTGGATGCCTTACATGTAATATGTTTACTTAAAAATGTGTTCAATTATCAATTAAAACGACAAGGTACATGCAGCATCTGAAACATACATAATGTATAATAAACATTAAAGAAATGGAAACATCGTAAAGTTTCATAAAGGTGCGTAACCAGAGAAGCATGGTGCATGAGATTGAGTAACTGTCTGATGCAATGGCAGAAAAGGGAAATGTTAAACCATCATTATATGAACAAAATACAATATTCATTGACTTGTTCTCAAATTGCAACAAGCACATGCCTGTCGTGTTATTTTGACACAACAGACTACTACAATTAGTTTGGATCACCATAAATGAAAGCTTCTGTTAAGGAATTATCTTAACAAGACAAGAATAAATCAGCACTGTCACAAAGGTGAATAATTTACTTGCATCTGAGCAAATGTGCTGTGAGGTGTTTCCCCATCTGTGAACCCTTTTATTCTGTATTCTTGCTCAATATAATACGAAACAGATGCTGAGGAAGACTTCAGCAAATGTAAACGGTATAGAGTGTGACTGTTTTTATCAAAAGAAAAAGGTGCTTGATGTTATTATATGTGTAGAAGATTTGTAACTATGAGGTAAAAATGTTATTATGGATTATGAGCCATATTTGAATCTGAGATAGGCATTAAAGCAGCGTATGCCTATTTTAACAAACTAAATGACCAAGCTTATCACCAGTACTGAATGAAATTAATCAACGCAAAGAAGCTAAAGAAACCTTATTATGCAACTCAGGCTATTCTTGTGAAAGTGGTCCTTGAGGTGTCCTTTATCGATTTTCAGGTAGGTTAGAATTATCCGTCCAGTTTAATCATAATAACTCAATCCGGCTGGTCCAATCAGGAGTTTGGCGAACAATTTGAGAGAGATGCTTAATCTAATTAAAATCCATTTATGCCTGACAGACCCATTAGCCAACAGACTTAAAGGATATAGTATTGTTGTTAAAAAACAAACAATAACAGATATTTCAGGGGGAATTAGAGCTAAATGGTTCAACACGCAGCACTTGGCTAAATCGCAAATCTCCCAGTAAGCTCTCAATGAATAAAACATGTGGATTATATCAAAGAAATGTTGAGGTTTGTGTCTGTAAAAAGTCACCGTCCTCCCTTGTTATGCAGATGAAGAAGTCAGATGCTGGTCTCTTTGTATCTATGCAGTAACATTTCTTGACATATTGAATGATTCATAACACTCCACCAGAGCTGTACATCTGACAATAAATCCAGAGCTAACACTGATTTGCATAAAGGATATTACTTTCTCTTATTTTTCTAGTAATTTGAAACATTTCTCAGTCACAGTTCATCTTTAAAAATGCGGATTTTATCCTTGTTTAAATATATATCTACTGTTTATTTCTGAACAATATAACATAACATATCTGCTTTTTCTGCTGTCACAAAATATTTGTCTAAAGTTTCATAAAAGTCCATAAATGAATGCCACCACAATAAAGTGGTTCATTACTCTTCATGACAGCACATCATTTTTCATGTGTCATTTATTTAAAGAATTATTAATATTACAAATGTAGATTAGACAATTAATTGCTTTTTTATTCAGATTTTAATTATTTCTGAAATCCTGTGCTATTGCTATCGAGTTGATATAAAGAAGGAAGACATCTTTTTTTTTGCACGATGTTAACGTTGAAAAATGGCAATCGTCCTCCTCAGCGAAAAAAAAATCAGGGGTAATTTGTCATGGGCTGCTTGTAATTTTTCATAATTAATTAATATTTTGGACACTTGGAACTTGACACAGATACTGCAGCACTGAACAAAATGTGACATTTTAGTTGAAATTACGCAAATTGGGTGATTGTAACATGCCTGTAATAAAGAATATATTTGAGTATTCTTTGCCAAATATGATTCTCTCCCTCAAAAACGGTGTTGTATCATCATTGCTAGTAATTCAACAATGTGTCTCCTATAATCAGATAATGAACAATTTAACCTCCCAGGCAGCCCTCTGCTTGGTATGCATGAGGCAGCACATGTTAGGATGGATTTTGGATTGAGGATTAAATCAAACAAGAGCCTGGCCAATGACAGGTGGTTGCCAATCACTGTGTGTCAATGGCAGGTGGTAGTCAGTAAGGAATGTGCCAACTGATTTGGCTCCACGCTGCACATTGTTTACAAGGCGACTGTCAAGACCAGCGAGCGAGTGGAGACTGCGAAAGCATGGAAGGAGTCATGTCGACAGCCATCTTTATTCGTGTCACATAACCGGCAAAGCCACACCACAGTATTACAAATGTCCTCATTAGGAGCAATTCTAAATTGATGCAATAAAAGCAATATGGATTTAATATTCAGCGAACATGAAAAATAGGATTGATCTGTATACTTACATTGGAGCCAAGAATTGCCCTCTTAATTAAAGAGTAAATGAGAGCCAGTTTAGGGAGACACACACTTGGGTGGTGGGCTTCAGTTATACTTCTCCTATAATTAATCATTTTCCATATGCTCTGCCTGTCCCAGAAATGGTCAAAAGGAGCAAATATGGAATATTTTCATGATTTTCAAATGTTCCTACTCAGAACAATGCAAAAAACACTTGTGTCAGAAGTGCAGCAGGTTTCATCCACTTAGGGGACGAGTTTTATGTTCTTTTGGCAGACTATGAATAATAAATTGGTTGATTCATTTTCCATAATCAATATTTCACCTGATATGCTAAGAGTAAATTCCTTTATTTGTGTAAACTAAAGGGTATTAACTAACACCATTCTGGGATTCTGGTGAGATTATGACCATCCTGGCCAAGGCTACAGAGGGGTTGCAAAATGTGGCGGCAATAATATTAGCTCTGCCAGATTTAGAAATCCCCTTTTAATGCACCAAGCTGAACTTGTTGTCTTTTAGCCATTCAATATTAAATAAAGCATTTAAAATGCTAAATAAATATAATGATAATTCCATGCGCCCATTTTAAAGTGGAATGACAAATAATTAAGAAATTATGCACACATAATAAATACTGAAGATATATGGTTATATATGAATATCACTTAACATATTTTGTTAATAATGAATTATAATAATAATACATTATATTTTTATAGCGCTTTTCGTGGTGCTCATAGACGCTTTACATAAAATCAGAAACAGAAACAGTACAAAGTGTTAAATGTTAAGCATCAGTTATCTATGTTAACAACAGCAAATAATGTTTCAATGGCTCATTTGTAACTGTTGGCAATTACATTAGAACCTTATCTGCTTATATGCTACCCAATATACATACTGTCACGATCTGTCTGTGTTGTTTTTTGTCTTGTCTTTTTCTGTCTTTGGTTTCCTGTTTTATTTTGTAAAGTGTTCACCCCCCGTTCCTGCCTGTTGCTTTCTCTCTGTTTTCCCTCCCTGATTACCCGATTGTGTTCACCTGGTGCCCCTGTGTTTTCTCCTCCCTCCTCACCTGTCTCTTGTTTGTTTGATTAGTCCTGTGTGCATTTAGGTTCTGTGTTTTCTGTTAGTCTTTGTGAGTTCCTTGTTGTTGTTGGACTGTATTCACTGGGAAGAATTCTGTCTGTAAACCTTGAAATAAAGGTATTTTCTGTTAATCTGCATTTGGGACCTGCTTGCCTCTCTCAACCCGGACAGAAGGAACTCACCAAATATGGGCCCAGCAGATCCATTTGAGCTAGATTTACTCAGTTTTTCCTTTTCGTTGGCTGGCTGCTCTGATAAGTGGAGGGGAGCGTCCGGAGTTCAGCAGCGTGAGGCTGCTCTGGCTGAGGCGCACCAGATGGCAATGGAGAAACTAGGTTTAGTTCAATTCTTACCTGGCTGGACTTTGGACTTCCTCTCAGTGTGTGATTCTAGGCTAGCAGCCTGAGCCCCAAGAGCCATGATTCCGGCTTCAATTCCAGCTCCAGTTCCGACTCCAGTGCCGGCCCCGGCTGCTATGATTCTGGCTCACGTTCCGGCTCTCCGGCCCGCTCCGGTCCCTTGAGTTCTGTCGGTGTTCCGACCCACTCCAGCTCCCCGGGTCCTGTTGGAGGTCCTGCTGTCACCTGTTCTGCCGGGGGTCCTGCCGACACCATGTCCTGTTCTGCTGGGGGTCCTGCCAGCTCCATGTCCTGTCCCGTTGGAGGTCCCGCCGACTACTCTCCTGCCGGGGGTCCTGCCAACCCTATGTCCTGTCCCGTTGGGGGTCCCGCCGAGTACTGTCCTGCCGTCAACTCTTCTGCCGGGGGTCCTGCCAAACCCTTGTCCTGTTCAGTTAGAGGCCCCGCCATCACCTGTCTCGCCAGGGGTCCTGCCAACTCCTGGTCCTCTTCCGTGGGGGATCCTGCCGAAGCCTGTCCCACCGGCTCCGGTTCCTGTTCAGCAGACACCGGGTCCTGCCCGGCCTCCGGAGCTGTCTGGTCTTCGCCCTTGAGCCTGGCCCCCTGAGTGCCGCGGTCCTCACCCTCGGGCCCGGCCCCCTGACTCTTCCTGCCGCTGCCTTCGCCCTCGGGCCCGGCCCCCTGACTCTTCCTGCCGTTGCCTTCGCCCTCATGCTCGGCCCCCTGAGTTCGCCCGCTGTGGCCTTCGCCCCACCTTGGACTCTGCCTTGCCCCTGGGCTGTCGGCCCGGGCCCGTCCTCCGGACCCCCTCCACCCACCCTGCTGGACTTTTTTTGGGACGTCTGGGATCCGTCCCTTGAGGGGGGGTGGGGTACTGTCACCATCTGTCTGTGTTTTGTCTTGTCTTTTTCTGTCTTTGGTTTCCTGTTTTATTTTGTAAAGTGTTCACACCCCCCGTTCCTGCCTGTTGCTTTCTCTCTGTTTTCCCTCCTACCTGATTACCCGATTGTGTTCACCTGGTGCCCCTGTGTTTTCTCCTCCCTCCTCACCTGTCTCTTGTTTGTTTGATTAGTCCTGTGTGCATTTAGGTTCTGTGTTTTCTGTTAGTCTTTGTGAGTTCCTTGTTGTTGTTAGACTGTATTCACTGGGTAGTGTTCTGTCTGTAAACCTTGAAATAAAGGTATTTTCTGTTAATCTGCATTTGGGTCCTGCTTGCCTCTCTCAACCCTGACATATACGATGCTATCTAGGGGGTTAGCATCCAGTGTTACTTACATATATATATATATACTTATTTTATGTCATTGTATTTTTATTGACAGGCTTTAAGAAGATACGTTTTGATTCTGAGAGATTCAGAAGATAAAGACAGCAGCACAATTCTTTGTACCAGATAAACGGGAGTATACCTGTCATATCATTTATATCGTGTTACAGAATTGTAAGAGGAGATCATTCTAAGAACATGCAGTACAGTGTATTGTAGTCCCAGTTCTCATGTTATTGATCTTGTAACAATTATAAATTATGTAGTGCAGCGCATATGATGTGTCAGATACATGTAATCCATAATTAAACTATTATTAATAATGAATGAAATGCAAATGTTGTGGAATAAAAGTATACTGATTGCATAACATGTTTGAAGCAACACATGTGGTTGCAAGTGACATTAATTACACTTTGTTCAAACAAATCAAGGGAAATTAATCAGATTATTGAACATTGTACAATATTTCACAACACTGGTTGATTATTCTGCATTTAAAACCTACATGTACAATTTCAAAATATATAACAAAATGTGTCATTTTCTTAGAGACTTATTTGCAAACTTTGAAGACCAACATTAATTATTGATTGGTTTCATTTGACTTTGAAATGTCTTCCATGTGCAAAAATACCAACCATCCAACATTTGGAATAGATCAGGAGCCAGGGGATTTTCTGAGGGCGCCAGGTCAGGCCAAAGCTTTCGCACAAAAAAATGCCTTGCCTGTTGGGTTGGAATACACCAGAATGAATTAAAGTGGGAACATACCGTTTGGTTATGGAAATTCAAGGACTGTAATCAAATTATTATAATACATTCATGCAGGTACGGTCACTTCATAATCATATTCCACAAAAACATTACTTTACCTATTGCTATTACATTAGCTATCAGAGTTGTGTTATTGGATAATGTTACTGCAACAGAGGCACGTTTCCTTCTGTAAAGCAATATAGATATTTAATTGATAGGTGGAAAGCCCATGAAGAGATTCTGAAGAGTTATTTCCAATACTGAGCTCAGTGTGGTTTGATGATCACTCCAATTTATCCAGTTTACGTCGACTTACTTTAAAAATCTCTTTGAAAGAAAGGAAAAGCTGCCATCGGCCTGGGACCCGTCCCTCTTGACTTATGGTGGAAATCAAAGCCAATCAATTATTTGATATGGAACCAGTTGATTTGCTGCTTGGGGCATGATGTCAACCTCAGTGCTCGCTTTGTGTGGGATTTTGGATGCCAGCTTTCACATGTTTTGGCAGTCATCATTCAGACATACATAAATCAACCATTTTTCTTTTATTTACAGTCTAGAGGGGATTAATCGTTTTTTTCCACTTTTGTCTGTATTCAACAATGGTAACAGACTTTTTTGCTGAATTTAGTGACAGAAAAATATATTCCCGATTCCACTTAATAGGAAATTATGTTTTCTGGGCAAGTTTAACAACTTGGAGACTTTGCAGGCGGACCTACAACTCACTGGACAGATTCAGTTTCCCATCTGGCCTTGGGATCTCTTGGGATGCTTCAGGGTCAGATGAGGTAAAGGCTTGGGAAAAGCTGACCTTGATTATATGCGGGAAATTGTCTAAATTCATTGATATCAAAATATCTATGGTGTGTCTCATCTGAAGGGCTGTTCTAAAAGTGGTCAACAAGTTTAGATTGATTACATCATTACAGCCGTCAGAATCCCCAAAAACCTTTGCGTAATTGTCTTATGGCATTTAGGTGAATCTTGTCTGCTTGAAAATTCAGCAAAATACTTTAATTGGCGAAAAGCCAAAGCAAACTATACAGTATTTAGATCATACTGTATGCATATTTCCTTTTAGCATTTGTTCATACCATTTGACGGGGCACCTTCCTGCTGTTAAACTTGACATGTTTGATGTTACAAGTTGTTAAGGGACACCCAATTGCCCTTAAGTTTGTCTCTGTGAAGCAGGACTTATCTATGGAGGGGATGGGGGCAGTTTCACATTGTTTTTTGGCAGCTTCCATGGATTGGTCCCCAATTTCTCATAACCTGGCCCAGAAATAACAAAACACATGAAAGATAACATTTAAAAAAAGACAAGACATAAACCATAACTTTCCAGAGGACGGCTTGTGGAAATAAAAGAGACAAAGATTTGAAAATGAAACTACTTAAATAAACAGAGGCACGAGCAACTCAGGCTTCAGGTATCGTTTCTGAAATCCATGTCCTAAACCAAATCGGAGTCACAACCAAAGCAGGTGCAGTGACTGAGATACCTCAAATCATCCAATCCCTGAATATGGATACTGCTTTAATCTGTGGAGACATTTTCTTCACACAAAATGACTATCTAGAACGGCAGCCTTCTCTTTTACTCATACATTTTCTATCTTTTGGTAAAGACAAGACATAATGCACACTGTGATATAGCCCTATAAGCTAGGGCAAACCTGACTGATTGTACCATCAGCAAATGTCTTTCACACCAAATCTCGAATGCTTTCCATCCCAATTACTATTCTACTGCTGTAATCACTTTTGCATGCTCCTTTTCCCAACGAGTCTTAAAAGTCTTTAACCTGGTGGCTGAGGTACTACTGTATGTGTGTGTGTGTGTGTGTGTGTGTGTGTGTGTGTGTGTGTGTGTGTGTGTGTGTGTGTGTGTGTGTGTGTGTGTGTGTGTGTGTGTGTGTACCTAGCTCTATTGTCTCTAGAGAGATTTGATTTATATCCCGCCTCAGTCTGTTGTTTGGCATCTCCTCACTCCCTGCTACCCTCTGTCCCCCAGAGCAGCCTTCCCATCAAAACACATTATTTCCATGCCAGTGCTCTCAGGTGGCCGCATACACCCACTTTTAATGATAGCTAGATCATCCACAAAAATTAGATATTACAAAGCCTTTACTGTATGTGCAGATTCAAGTACAGTTCTCACCAGAAGTAAATTGTCAGCACAATGTATTTCAGGATGGAATTTTATTATGTGTAAATGAGGAAATAGTGGTATTTTACCATGTTTATATCTCACTGTATCTACATCACATCTAGACGACTGTGATCTGTTTTTGTCTCAACGTGAGATCAAGGCCTGAGGCAAATGAATGCACAGCTGGAACAATCATCCATCTTACTCCTTAGAAAGAAAAAACAGACATATTTGACATTTGTACTATAATGATGTGGGCACAATGGCCCAGCCTTGAGCCACAAGAATGAATGTCAACATCAATTTTAAGGAGCTGTAGGGGCACAACACGGCAACATCATCTACAGGTGCTACCAAAGTGCTGCAGATCAAATAGAATTTGTGTAAAAGATCGAGGAATAAAACCATGTATCTTCAGGGCACTAAGGTTGAACAGACAGACATATGGATAGGCTTCACCAGTGCTTTGGTCTGATGATGAGAATGAATCACTTCAGTGGCTTCGGGCTATTTCTCCAATCAATACCTTTTAAAAGGTTTAGACGAGCCACATGAGGACAGTCAAAATCTAACAGCCCTCACATTTGATGTTGTTGCCATGAGGCTGTCTTCGTAGTCAAAGGGAACATGTTGTTATAAGAAAATCAAAGTAAGGTTTTTGAAGCATTAACCTGGCGTGGCACTCAATGGACCATTCCAATAATAATAGGCAGAAGTAGCCCGCAGCTAAGCAAGGTGTGAAGCGAGGGATAAGAAGGCTTATCTGTATAAGAGCAAATATACTCAAAAAATATCAGATTTGCATAGTTTTGCCTTAGAACTAAACTCTCGAAGGGGGCTGGCAGTGGCAAGGAGAGATTAGAAAAAAATTATGAGAATAAATAAGTGTGCCTCTTCCTTGAGGCTGTTAACAACACAAGGTTGGTGGTGATGGTTGTGGCGATGTGGTGTATTTCCCTTCAGGGCTCACAGCACTATCCGTCTTTTCTGATCCCCAATGAAACTGTTTATCCATTAATTTCCTTTTCATTTAATTGGCAGATGGGGCAGCCTCCTCCCTCTTTCGAACTAGCCTGCAGGTTTATTAGTCCCACCACAGTGGGCCGTCGTCTCCAGCATCTCGTTTATTTCACTTTGTTGCTAATTCAGGCTGTGAACTTGATGTCTCTGCCCTTTATCTCTCGTATTATTTTACAGCCTGACAAATGACTGAATCCAGAGGTAATTTGAAAACAAATTAAAAGTAAGAAAGAACTGATATAATGTCATGCTGTAGTTCAGAGATATGGACTTGCTCGGACCTACTGTGGAATTCTAGTCTGAACACATGTCTTCTTTAGCAAGGAATAATATCATTCATGTTTAAAAATGTATGATAAGTGGCATTAGTACAGTCAGTGTATTTTACTTTTTTACTGATGTAACTTATGACTTCAAATTACACTCAAAAAACTAAAGCATTGACTTTAATTAAATGTATTATGTGAACATTTTTCACATAACTGTATTAGTTTTTGTGAAAGCAATAATATTAAATTAGTATTCGGTTCAACTTAGCATTATTGCTTTCAACTAACCTAACAAATACAGTTATGTGAAATCTGTTGACATGATACATTTAAAGACAGTTCAGTTTTTTCAGTGTAGGGATGTATCGAAAAATGTACAGTATGTTAAAATCAAAAATCCAAGGAGTTCTTACATTTCCTAGCAAGAGTAACATTTATGTTCTCAAAGTTATCATGAATTCTGAGTTTCAAATAAAGGATTGGATCGTTTGGAATAGACAAGTGTTAAACCCTGAGAGACGGCCATTGCCATCTGTCAGCACTAGCCTTCAGCCTTAAAAGTTGTGTTTCATTGCTGTGTGATTCATTAAAGAGTTTCAGATTGCTTTTACCTGAACTTCCCTTCCCTTTGTGTGTGTGCAAATATACTCTTACTGTCAGCTGAATGCGTCAGATGTTTTCATGTCATTTTGTACATAGGCCCTTTCAAAATGTAATTTATCATCATAATTTGACTTGTCCAGCCTCATTTTGGACAATTGGTTTATTATTTTTATTAATATGATAAATACGTTTGATACAAAATATCAAGTGCTCTGAATGTCATCACTCTTAAAAGGCCGGTTTTTAAAATGCAATTCAATCCCCTTGTTTTTCCAATAGGTCAGCTTTCCTTTTTAACAATTGACAGATTAATGATGGCCACTGCTCTTGACTTTTAATATAAAATAGACATTTAAGGGCCCTCTTGAGAGCCTGCTTCAGCTCCTCAACAGTGCTTACTTAAGTCCGGGCTAAAGGCTGCGTGGCTGCCGTGTGTTCCTGTCCATACAGCACGAGATGATAAACAACATTGCCGAAGGTCATGTTAGGAAGTGTGGGAGCACAATGGGATAGGATGGAGGCAGAGAGATTGAGTGTGCAATGGAAAAGCCATCACCTGTCTCCACCCCCCCTCCCCCCCACCTCCGACCTCCTCTCCCATTTTCAGCTCAGTGCACTCTTTAGCAGAATTATTGATGGTGCTTGTGAGGCACAGAGGCCCGGGATGAAGATGTCAATGCCAGCACTGCAAAACAAGAGCTATGGCAAAGGGTGGGACAGCAGGAGGAACAACACATGCAGTATTTATTGCCGTGTTCAATATGGGAAGGAGAGGAAGAAAAATGGAAGTGATCTCAAAGTGGAGCAACATAGAACTCCTTCTATACTGCTGTCACTGTACTGTATTATGTAGACGTGGTGGGAGAAATGTACCGATAACATATTGAAAGTATAGAATTGCAAGAAAAAAGAAAGTCCTGCATTCATGTTTTACTTGTATTTACTTGTATTGACAGCGGGAATGTACAAAGTTAAACTCCTTTCAAAGTTACATTGCTGTACAGTATGATAGGATTATTGTTTATGAATTGTAGTTCGAATTGTAATTTAGCTTGTCAAGGTGGAGCTAAGTTTTAGCAACTGATCTGTCGTATTTTTATAAATGATAATGTATTCGATGTATCTAAGATCCGAATTTGCTGAATAGTAACCTGTCAAATAAATACACAGGAGTAGAAATGTCATTTACCGCTGAGTAGTAATGGACTAAAATTAAAAAGCAACATAAAATAAAAAATACCCAAATAAAGTACATACATTTCAATAACAGTAACAGGTTCAAATTGAAGCATGTGTTCCCCTTGGGAGCAGCTGGAAATAGCAGTAAACCCAACACTGGCATATCTCAAACTGCTGGAAGGTGTTTGACCTTGCGTTGTGAACATAGTTTCTGAGATTGTTGGAGAAGGGGTGGGTTTTTTCTTTGTAGGAACATTTCTTGTTTCTTCAGTTTCATCATGCTTACAGTACCGTACTCGTTTCCTCTTCAAGCCCTTTGCTAACCATTTCTTCTCTTTATTCCCAGGATGTGTGGTACGTCATCATATCTCTGCTTTATGCTGCACATGCAGATGAAAAGGCAGCGCAGGGACGAAGGGGAAAGACGGAAAGACATTATTTGAAATTGTGACTGCCATTCTCTGAGCTTTTGTTATTGCACCTTTATGTGTCTTGTGCAAAGCAGACCAGGGTTGAGTGTCTTTGTTCTTCTGATGATGTCCTTGCTGAATGATTACAAAATGAGATGTGTCCTCTTTGCCTCCATCTTTGTTTTCTCAGTGAAATTAACATTCCAGGCTGCAAGCCCCTTTTCAATTACCACCGCGAGGGATGACTCTTATGTTGACACTTAATGAAACTCGCTGCCCCAAGATTCATTAATATAAAGTCATAAACACCAACCCCCCTTGATGTTTATTCACAGCGTGTGAAAGATGATTCAAGACAGATACACAAACAGTATGGTCAGTTTTCTTTTAAAAATGCTCCAGTCACAGAGGACGCTCGTGAGATCGGCCTTTAGAATGAGATCATCCTCAGAAGGTGACTTTTCACAGTGTCTTGTCGTAAAATGACTGGATGATTAAATTGAGGCAGCTAGTTTAAACCTTCTTCCCATTAAGAGGATTATTGAACACAGAAGATGGCTTATGGTCATACTCAGCTCAGTTGTTGTGCTCTGGATGTCTACACGATGTATAGGCGACCAGAGCAAAGTAGTTACACCAAAATACGTGCAATCTCATGAGATATTAAAAAAAAATTCATTTCTGAACAACCATTCCAATCTGTATCCTTTTGTTATTTCTTTCTCACCCTCTTTATAGTAATGTGTGACCTCTCAATGCAGTGCATCTCACCTTATATCAGCTTTTTTGGTTTTTAATGTGTTTATGACACCCTCTAGAGGACCATTGACAACATCACATGACTAAACTTTTAGTCTCGTTATTAGTACAAGCCTTCCATGACCACCATTGGCTTGTTAAGGCAAGGCTTCTAATTAAAAACAAAACAAAATATTAATATTTCCACTATTTATACAAAGCTTTGCATTGTATTGTTGTGTCAAATGAAATGTAGGAAAAAAGCAAAGGAAAGAGTATCAATACAAATCTGTAGGTTATTGTTTAGTCACTTTCCAAAATAAGTCCTGCACCTTTCATATACTGTATGTGCATTCTTTTCTGATACGTGCAAGTTTATCCTATTTGCAATTAATAAACATATTTGTTTTCACTTTTCTTCTCAATAAAATTGTGAGGCAGATACAACACACAGTATTTCATTCTGTTGTGCACTTGTCCTTTGAATAGTTTACTTTAATAATAAAGTTTGTATTGAATCTTAAAGTCTTTCCGCTGCTGCAAATAGCCGGGTGAACACATACATGACAGCCAGCAGCTCAGATACAGAGACTTCCTCTGTTGTCATGAAATGACTAGTTTGAGAAACAACACGCTGTGGCAGATTCTGATAAGGAGTGGGTGACTCTGTTGCAAATAAAGACAAGATAGTTGTTTTTTTCCGCCCGTTGTTACTCAGCGTGGCTTTGACCTCAGCCACATTGGGTTATCAGGAAAAGAGGAAGCTTTATTTCTCCAGAAATGGGTTCAGTAAGGTCTGACTCAGGTCAGCCGTTCTGACGTATCCAACCACAGCTAAATCATGCACTCAAAATTATTCATACTCCAGCTAAAAATAGAGTTAGGATCTATACTGTACATTAGGTCAGCTGTACTTAGGGTTGCGAATGCCTAACTGCAATTTTAATGACAGAAGTAAAGTTTATTTTTGGTGTCTTTTAAAGCACCAAGTGTTTTTCATCTTACATAAAGAATACATAGATATACTACAGTTCAAACATATGAAAGAGAACCACAGTAAATAAAGAAAAACTGAAAATCACATGGGAAAAGAAAGTCTAATAAAGCAGCTTGAGACAATAAAGACAAAGATAGAGTTGTATAACATGACATAACAAGGAAATGCCTTACATTTGCTGTAATAAAGGTAACAAAATAACTCAATCATAATGACAGCAGAACAAAATGTTTTGGTAACACTTTATGGTAAGGGTACATGCATCATCATGAATTCATGATGATGCATGTACCCTTACCATAACGTTTTACCACCCACATTATTTTGCGGCCTCCTATAAAAATATATATATATTTATTGTAAATGCATTGAGATTTCCAACACTTCGAATTTTCCAAAAAACAGTCAACCAAATACCTTCTATTTTTACAATTAGGTTTAGAGATATCAGCTGAAATGTAACTAACAATATCACATAGAAGAGGAAGCAGGTTGACCACGCAGCAGTTACACACCCCAGGGCATGACTTCCTGCTTGTGTGTTTCTGTGTGTGTTTGTGGTTTTGACAGAGAGAGAGAGAGAGAGAGAGAGAGAGAGAGAGAGAGAGAGTAGGTTGATTAGTGGGAAATACCAAAGAAGTGACAGAAGTTGAAGCTGACAGCAGCAGACAGCAGGGTCATGGAGCCACGGCAGATTAGAGAAGGATACTTGGTGAAAAAGGTAAAAAAATACATACTCTTCACAAAATTAACTGAATTGAACTTGGGTAAATTTATGATCGCATGGGTGAACGTAAAAGTTTAGTAAACACTGTAACTATTGGTATTATAGTGAAACAAGAGTGCAAATTAGCATCTACATGAAACAATATTAAATTCAAAGTAATACAATAGCAAAACAAAGTGCTTTAAAGGAGATCAAATTGAAGAATGTTGAAGATTTATAAGAAGTCATAAGAGGACATGACTACTACATGGTGAGGAACACTGTCGCAATTGCATCTGTTAGCCAGCCTGTTTCAAAATGAATTAATAAACCTCTCAAAGTAGAAGTGAGCTTAGCAAACAGCGCTGATAAATATAAGTAGAGGAACATATGTGTAATTTATCTGAATACAAAACTACACACTTCTGTTTTACATTGCAAGAAAAAAATGAAGTTCCTGCTTTTGTTTAGAGGCAAGCGGTTGTGTTTTATTTATCCGACATAAACAGCAGATTGACACAGGGGGAGAATACTTAAGATATAGAGGTTTACAAGATTACTATGAAACACAACAACATTAATTCCAACTACTTTACTTAAGAACAACGACCACACTTTAAAAACAATGTGTCTTCATTAAGCCATTTCCCACACTCAAACTTTTTTTTTTTAAAAGAAAGTGCAGTGAGAATGTGTACATTTCACACATCCAGTACTTAAACCCAAACTCACAAGTTTTCTCGTTCGAGATAAGTGTTAGTTTCACAACACCCCTAACATGCCATGAAAACTCTTTTCAAACTGGTTATATGTGCATGACAGGAACGAGCCTTATTGGTTATCTTCTCTGATGATCATTGAGATATCATGACGGAAGTGGTTTTTCTGTGAATAATAATGACACTAGGAGCAGGTGCCTATTTCCTATGTTGAACAGGTTTCTGTTGTTTTATTTAAACGTGGTATAGTTGAGTTTAAAGAGCACAGCCACAGTTTCACACACAGCGTTCTTGTAATGCTTGAAAGCAACCAACATGTTCACAGCAGATATATTTTCGGAAGACTTTGTTCCTAGAATAAGTAATGTTAGCATTTCTCAGAATCACACTTTGGTCAAAAAAGTTAAAACGGGAAAACAACTTGCTTCTTTTTCCAGAGGAAGTGAAGAAAGAGGAGAATACTGCAAGCCGCAAAGGGCATGATTATGAAATGTAACATATTAACAAATTATTAAAAAGAAGGGGTTGGCAAAGCCTGTAATTACTTTCCCTTTTTGTATTACCAGAACTCCATGATGTTGATACTTTTTGTGTTGCATAGTGCTGAATAAAATCAAACCTGTTGGCTTGCTCAATGCATGAAACAGAAGACAAAGCAGAAGGAACATTTATAGAGGCACATTTCAGCAAAAAAAACTTTTTGGGGAATTTTTCATGAACAAAATATAAATTCTCCTGAGGATTTGAAACTACCAGACATGTGTACGTTTATTGATAACAAGAATAGGTTAAAAATAAATATGACTCAAAGATTTGTTAAATGTACAAAAGGCCTCACACTTTTGCTCAAGGCTGCCTGTTGTCAACCGCCTTCTTGATCCACAGGGTACACTGCTCAACTCCTGGAAGGCGGTGTGGGTAGTGCTGTCAGAAGATGGGGTGGAATTCTACAAAAAGAAAACAGACTCATCTCCAAAAGGGATGATCCCGCTAAAGGGAGCCACGCTCATCAGTCCTTGCCAGGATTTTGGCAAGAGGATGGTAAGAAAATGTCTTGTATAGCTGTTGAAAAATCAGCTAGCATTGAAGGATTAGAGCTGTGAAAATGACGGTCATTGTGGAGTAGGATTAGAAACAGACTTCAGGACTACAATCATTTTTTAAGATTTATGACACTCAATCTGAAGATTTAATTAATTTGAGACAACCCATAACGTTTTATTCATTTTAGCAGCTGTGTTTGTTGTTAATTATCCTCATATATAAGGCAAATCTCAACAGAAAACTGAAAATGTGACAGTGTCTGAATAACAATGTTCTATGTAGCTGGTTTTTAAGATTACCACAGGCAAGAAGCAGGATCACTTCTTCCAAGCTTCACATGTGGAGGAGAGAGAGTTTTGGGTGAAGGACATGAAGAGAGCCATTACCTGCCTAGAGGGGGGGAAAAAGTTTGCCAGGAAGTCCACAAGACGCTCCATTCGCCTGCCTGACAAAGTCAACCTGACGTATGTTCTGTAACATCTTCATTTGTGCTTAAAAAACATAATTTGAAGAGAAATACATTCATTTACATTATTCAAATAATTGATCCTGAACTATGTATGGCCCCCATCTTAGATACTGTTGTTACACCAGCTGTCAAACTTCCCCTTTTGCACTGAGTCAAATGTATTGCAGTGATAACAGAAAATCAGTGATCAGTCAAAGTTATATGTCATTTTTGAAGCAATGACTTGGCTGGCTGAACTTATACAGTTGACTCTTAAAAACTGTCTTGAGCTGTACACATCTTCAACAGGCACTTGAAGGCCACATACTGTATATTCTGAAAGAAGACTAAAGCTTACAGTTCACAGGCAAAAAGTATTCAAGGGAATAAGTCATACAAACTATAACTTAGTTTACAATATCATTCTAGCATGATCTTGTTTATGGATTAGTTTATGCTATGAGAAAATACATGACCAAGAAGTGAAGGGAAGAAGTTAGATGTCAGTTTACCTTTCAAATTCCATGCTTTATTTTGTTAATACTGTAGATAGTCAGTGATACTTCCTTGGTAAGACATATTGACAGTGTGGTCATTGTGTTTACTCAGGGAACTGTACACACTGATGAAAGACCAGGATGATGGAGTAAAAGAGTTAAAACTGGAGCAGGAGAATCGAGTCTTCAACCACTGCTTCACAGGTACAGTTGTCTAAGTTAATATTTTTTCTTTCAAATGTTCCCGCTATTTTCTGCAACTTGTCTGTTTTTCTTGCAGGTGCGACAGTGGTAGAGTGGCTGATTTCAAAGGAGAAATCTAGGAATAAAGCTGAGGCCCTGATGTTGGCGACAGGGCTGCTGAACGAGGGTTTTCTCCAGCCTGCTGGTGACTTGTCAAAAGAGGGAGCAGAGAGTGGAGAACAGTCTGTTTTCTTAGATCAGACAACTGCTCTTTATTACTTTGTAAGTGACTTTTGCATATTAAATATGGTTTGTAATGAGGAAACGTGATTGATGTGTGCTGTGTTTAAATGGCTGTGATCTGACAGGCAGACAGTGGGTTCTTCTGTGAAGGCTACTCCAGTGATGAAGATGTGCTTCTGAAGCAAGAGTTCAGAGGAAACATTGTAAAACAGGGCTGTTTACTCAAACAGGTGAATCAGAAAGTGCTTTTATTCCACTGCATTCGCTTATAAAGGATCATTTTAGACTATGTTGTGTAGTTACCTTTCTGTTTTTCTGTAAAGCGACCTTGGGTCCCCTGAAAGGCGCTATATACATTTAAGTTATCATTATTATTATTATCACACTTTTAAATTACCTGAACATATTGTCTTAACACAAAGCCACTTTTTTCACTGTTTGGTCAAATTAATGGGTAAAGCTTGTGTTATTTTATCACAGGGACATAAGAGGAAAAACTGGAAGGTGCGAAAGTTCATACTGAGAGACGACCCTGCCTTTGTGCATTATTATGACCCTACAAAGGTAACTTGTACAAGCTGAATGAATAAGGAATTAGAGTTTGTTTTACTCACTTTCATTTTCTTGTTCTTATTTTCTAACTTGTATGTCTCTTCCCTGTGTCAGGGGGATGACCCTCTGGGCTCCATTCATCTCCGTGGGTCTGTCATTACCGCCGTGGAACATGTGCCTGATGGTGAGTTGGGCCACTGTCACAGAGAACACATTGCTTCCTTGCTGTAACCAGGGGGAATAATTGCTGTTTACCTCCGTTTCCTGGGTTTCAGCAAAGAAATATGACATTGATGGCAACCTCTTTGAGATCATCACCTCCGATGAGACACATTACTTCCTCCAAGCTGCTACCGTGGAAGAAAGAAAGGAATGGATCAAAGCAATACAGGCAGTTTCAAAAAGTGGAAAATAACAGGAGAAGCAAGGAAGCCACATTTTGGGTTGCATTTAACAGTGCTGCCAGCAAAGTTGAACTGTGATTATGAACGATTGTCTTTATGTAGTTCTGTGCCATTGTAAAGTAGATGTAAAGACTCACTCCTCTTTAAACTTTTAAACTAAAGTTATGATGTTTTTAGGTATGTAGTGTGTAATAAATTAAAGAGAAACTGTTAGCCATGTCTGCTTTCTTATTTCCTCCTTGATCCCTTGTCTTTCAAAGCACACTCAGTTCCGGTGTATACGAACTAAAACAAAAAAAAGTGACAGCTTCACACTTGACATTCACTTTGTGGCCTGCTGCATCCGGAAGTAAAGTTTATCAGTGGCAAACATGACTGGCTTTAGCCACAGTATGACAACATTACAAAAATAACTCAAGTTCCAATAAAAAAGTGAATGTAATAAAAGGAGTGCAAACAGTTTGTGACAACTTGGGGCTTATCTTTCAGCCAGAGGGCCCTTTTGGCCATCAAATGTATTAGTAGTGGTACGTTTAACAAACTATCTTCAAATGGGAAATACTGTAGGGTCTGAGAGGTTTGAAAACCACCAGCTGGTAACACATAGGGCGACTGTGGCTGTGAGGGAGTGTGGTCGTCTTTCAACCAGAAGGTTGTGGGTTCGATCCCAGCCCATGCAGTCAACATGTCGATGTATCCTTGGGCAAGATACTTAACCCTGAGTTGCTCCCGATGGCATGGCCAACGGTGTGTGAATGTTAGGTCCTAGAGTAAGGTACACTGCTCTGTATGAATGGGTGTGAATGGGTGAATGACATGTAGTATGTAAAGCGCTTTGAGGGGTCTTAAAGACTGGATAAAGCGCTATATAAGTACAGTCCATTTANTTAACAAACTATCTTCAAATGGGAAATACTGTAGGGTCTGAGAGGTTTGAAAACCACCAGCTGGTAACAGATAGGAAACAAATGCCAAAAGCTAACATTATCTCTTAAATACGATAATGTGTTATCGTATTTGACAGATTTATAGAACCCTTGTTGAACTCTGGCCTTGTCGTAGTTGTGAGCAATTTCTTTGTGGAATTATTGAAATGTATTATTTCATGATAAGTCCCCAGGCAGAGATACATCATCATAGGGACGTGTTATCACCTTTTACCAAGAAGCTGTTTTTCTCAAGCAAGGCATCTTGAATCACTTTAGCAAAATTGTCCTTTTTCTGATGTGGTGCCCACAGGCACACACCACCCTCTCGCCTGCTCAGACAGCAGTTTGATTTTCTCTCTGTCCACTCTTCAGAGCAGCTCGGGAATCACATCGAGGAAAGACACAGTGGTATTCTTGTTATGAAAATGTTAATCTCAATTTGTGATACTGAAACTTCTAATGCTTGACTGATTTAAACTAATGTCATTGATTACATCATAATGGCATTGAGATGATACATGTATGTGTGTTTTTAAGCATAAGTTAAGCATTATTATGTTTTTAGCTGTGGACTTTCCTAGTGTTTCAGTTGTTATGGCCATTTGTGGCGCAATGAAGATCAGACAATCGAATGATCAAATCATTGTTGTAGAAATGACTGGCAATGAAACAAAATACATCATGACTGCCTGCATGTGTGTGTTTTACAATTTGACCACAGGAGGGCACTATATATCAACCTAACCTTTGAGTGTTGCTTTGAATGGTTACTATACATGCAAAACGTGGTGTGGTGTAGAAAAGATTTCCACTCACTGAGGTTAATCATACTAAAGCCTCAGAGATTGCTACATGTCCTACTTAGTGAAACACATGGACAAACACATGCTTCTAATCAATGTATTGGAAAAATGGAAACGGATACTGTTTTCTGTCATTTCTGTAAAGTTGTAACTGTGAAGCATAAACGCCCTCAGCGTAGAGTTAAACAAACAGTTTACCCTTAATGGAAATGACAGTGTTTTAATTAAAATGTCCAACATGATATGGGCATTTCATATACAAATATGAAGATACAATACAACTGAGAATGTCTTATAGCGAAGTGAAGATGTAAACAATAAAGTGTACGTGAGGGGAGGTTGATGTTTTTACAAATTGCATTTTGAAAGCTTCTGTCACTGCTTAGAAACAAAACAGAGTCCACACTTCTGTGGACAGCGTTGAAAATGCTTTCCTTTTCTGTATTTGTCACTTCAAATATTATGTTGCTGCCGGCACTGCCCCAAAGATCAGAGGGGATCACATTTGAAAAGCAAAGTTGCAAAGTGAAGAACAAATCTGATCTTTGAAATTAGAAAGTTGCCTTCTTGCCAAGTTGTTTGTTACCTGCTATGGTCATTTGTGAATATTGGTAATGTAGCTGATGAAAATAGACATTTGATTTTCTGTTTCTACTTTCAGTCACAACTCTAAACTGGTCATTTATCCTTTTTTATGCTAAACACACAACAACAATGTATACCTGTCAATATCACTGTATTAAATTAATCTAGTTAACAACATAAGAAGAAGAAATAAATATATGTAAAAGACAACACTTATATAAAAACGTCAAATAAGAGCTCACAGAATTGAAGGCAGCAGAGTGGTCTCTTACTTTGGGGACAAAAAACTGAATTTGAAGTCAATTTTTATTATTTTAGTCCGTCAATTATGCCATAATTCTTATGACAATATAGTTGTGTTGCACAATTCAGATGTTTTCCAAATGCCATTCAGCGAAATTGGAAGCAGCACACCACTTTTCTATTATTTGAGGTGAAATTGAAAAAGTCTCATGTGGATGGAACCCTGTTTGGCAAGTGGAAAACGTTTTCAAGTTCAGTAACAACAAGCGGCTCCTGACTAACTTTCTGACCAGCATGGAACAAAGTTTACCTCATATCGACTGGTGACTACCCAAGAAGAGTCTTTTTTCCAAAGCTCTCAAAAAACGTTAGTTTGTAGAAGCGATTGTTCCCTGCTCTGAAATAGCTTTTTAGCCTCTGCCCAGGTGAAGTTAATGCTCCTCAGACTGCAAGGTACCTCGTCCATCAACTGTTCAACAGACGCGTCATGTTTGCAAGATCTGTCACTCATTTTAAAGGATACATTCAATAATATTTTATTAAAATGGTTTCATTAACAAAATCACATCTTTGATCAATACACACATTTTGGACTGTAGATGACACATTTCTGCTTTTCATGGAAAGAGATATCCAGGGAACTTCATAATTTTTTGAGTGACAAAAACTGTATGTGGATAAAAAAAGAAATCTAATATATTTAATACATTTCAATTTCACATGATAAGGTTTTAAATAAACTATGTAAGGATTGGAATATGTATAATGAGACACTATCATGTCTTTGATGAAAGACAATCCACAAAAAGGAGTACAAAAAGGCTTTTATTAGCTACAGAGATCCAAAGCCTTGGCTGAAATAGAGTCCCAGTGAACAGGGGTCACTGAATGCCGTTGATAAGAATAGGTGTAATTCAAATGCTATAGTCTTCCCAATCAATAGATCTCAACCTAATTAAACTTACTTTACATGCAGACTCTATGGTAGTGATGATGCTGTGGGTTCAGAATGATAAACTTCCTATTTTCATTTAAAAGACAAAAGGGGTAGACAGACATGGCAGGGCGGTTGCAGCAGACACCTTGAGCAAAATGTGTGAAGTTGTGAAAGAAAAGAAGGCTCCTTCCTGTGTACCAGAGAAGTTGTAAAGGAAATGAGCTCAGAGAAATGACAGTCCAATTTGTCCTTCTAAAGGTCTGAGTGTGGCTTGCTTGGAACCAACATCTAAATACATCATTAAAGTTATCCAAGGTGAGAAACTTGCTGATGCTTTGCTTGTCTCAACCATAAACTGTAAAGGTCTCCACACTTAAATATATATTATGCACACATGGGCCTTTTTTGAATGAAATGTATAGTAGTATATACTAACTATAATTGATATTGATACCCCACCCAAATCAATACATTCTGCCAGTTTTTAAAGTATTAGAAATGCCAGGCTTGCATGATAAGAGGAATATTATTTAGAAAATATGTCCTGTCACGTATCAATAGTGGTCTGACACCGAAATAACAGAATAACTGCAGATCCGAATGGATAACTGGAAAAATTGAGTCCCTCCGCCAGATAACACGAATGACTGAATTCCCTTAAAGCTGGATCTATGAATGTACAGTAAGGATAATGACAGCTTGGTCAAAGAACACTGCAAGTATGATATTTTCCATACTGTACTCCCTTGTTTCCTGATGCAGTATATTAACAGATTCATGCAATACATATAGATACATTCTGTGCCACCTTGTAAATTCTAATCATTAGGTGTTTTCTCTATGGACTTTGCCTTTGAATAAGCAAAGTTAGAGTCATGTCCATTGGGCTTCTGGGACCATTTCACTCATTGTAATTTATGATTGCGATGGATAGAGCCTCAGCAACTGGCACAGTGGAAATTGCAGCTAAATTGATATATTCACAAGTACATCAGGAGACTTCCTTCAAATTCTCTGACAGCCTTGTAGGGGGATAATAACCTTTTTCGTGCAACTTTATTACAAAATCATAAAACTACTCATGGTTTCAAAAAAGCCTTTTCCCATCCTTGAAAATGTCCTGATATTCATTATTTCAAGACCTGAATCCTAATAACAAAATAGCTTCTATGTGAGTGTCTTCGAACATGATTAATATGACACCAAAAAAGAATTAAAGCAATAAAAGCATAAAAAAATGTATGCAACAAATGTGAAAATCAACATGAATACTTGAGTTCATCAGGCAAAAGGGCCAGGTTAAGCTACACAGGGTAATTGTCTTCTGCAGTTCATGGCAGGTTCATGCAAATACAATTAAAATATACTGTACAAGAGTTAGGGCTGCTCGGTTATGGCAAAAATCATAATCTCGATTATTTGGGTCAATAATTGATATCACGATTATTAAAAACGATTATCCATTTACTTTGAAAACATCAATTTATTGGAGAAATTTTTTTGAACAGTATGTTTTTAACAGTTGATTACCCTGAACATTAAGCATAACTCAACTGAAAATCCAATTAAAAAAGAAATTAATAATAATAATAAAAAAATAATCGTTATATTTCGATTACGTTGTTTTCGTAATCGTAGCAAGCCGTAATTGCAATTAAAATACGATTAATTGAGCAGCCCTAACAAGATTACATAAGCACTGATCCATGACAATTA